TAGACATTTTTAAAGAAGAGATTGGACGGCCATTTGTCTGGAATGATATAGGTTCTCCTGCTTGAGCAGGTGGTTGGACTAGAAGACGTCCAAGGTCTCTTCCAATCCTGTTATTCTGTTAAATCAAGTGGATGGATAGACCTATGCCAAAGGATCTGAGGAACCGAAAATGGATCTTCTCATTGCTGAACACCTTTAGGGATTTAGGCAGTGATGTCTACCACATCAATACTAAGATGCCTTACTTCTCAAGGGCATCGCTCCTTTATTTGAGGACATGGAAAGACTGAGAAGAATCACCTTAGTTTTATGCACTCATGGAAATACTCTACCATTTGGAGCTAACTTATGTAGAACTTCTGTACCATTTCTTCTTACAAACAGGAAGAACGTCGCGTCATCTACGTTGGTAGACTTGGATCTGGTACTACTCGAACAGAACTGAGGGACCGGTTTGAAGTTTTCGGTGAAATTGAGGAGTGTACACTGAATCTACAAGATGATGGGTAAAATTACTCTTCCTTTCCCCTTTGACTCCCTTCACTCAGAAGAGGGGGAAAAAAATACACTAAACTCAGAGGTCTGTAGAGATTCTCAGTCCTCCAGGTCATGGTTGTCGCAAAGATGCCTTTTTTTTTCAGGAGGCAACTGGACTTTCTGGTTTCTTTTTTGAAGACATTTCGCTCAGTGGTGGGATTCAAATTGTTTTACCATCGGTTTGGTGGGTGTGGCTTGGTGGGCGTAGCTTAATGGGCATGCTTTGCCTAACACCGGCATGCAGCTTTTCCCACACCAGCTGAGACCTGCAGTGCCAATCAGCTGTGAGGATAAAGAAGAGAAAAGTACAGAGGTGGGTAAGAGGGCTGATCCTGAGCTTTTCTCTTCGTTTTCCTCTCAGATGATTGTCGGAGGATTTTTTTTCCTCATCTCAGCTGATCATTGGCTTTTTTTTACAACCGGTTTGGGCGAACAGGTCCAAACTGGTAATACCATCATTGGTTTCGCTTCTCATCCAAGAAGCTACTTCAACTCTGACAGGATAATGGGGAACCCAGAGATTTGAAAAATGGCCATAAAAATGCAATAATGTTCAAACTATGGTTTTCTCTTCTCTTTCCTCTTCAACCCATGTTTATGAAGTTATCTATAGATGAGATGAGATGAGATGTTCCCTCAATAAATATGTCAGGGTTACTGTGAGGGTTTGAAATTTATTTATTATTTATTTGGTCAATGACCAGAAACATAAAGTAATAAAAAGAGAGATAAATGACAGTAATTACAATCAGGAAGTAAGTACAATTATATATTGGCAACTGTAAATTAAATCAAATATGGTATATTCTAAACCCCTCTATTACAATAATGCCATCTTCATTTATCTAACACTAACAAATCTGTTATTCCGTATTTGGTAAATCTAATATAATAAAACCATACATTGAAATATACTTGCAAGATACATCCCTCTAAGCTGCTGTGTGGATAAATATCCCACCAATTTTTCATTTCTGGCCCATGATCATTTTTAGAAATGTGTCAGTGAATCATTTTTGCAACCATGTCATGTCATGGGTTAGAGTCAGTTCATGTGATTTTCTTGTGTGAAATGGACAAGTGTATGGTCTACTTGTCTATGGAAAAGTTTCCATCATCCAGTACATGGTTGTCCCAAAAGTGGTTTTTCAAAATGGAACTGGGCTTTCTGAGAACTGAAGAAGCTTCTTGGATGAGAAGTGAAAGATATTCAAGAAAAGCAAACAAACAAAGAAAGTCCAGTTCCCTTTTCAAAAAGCACCTTTGGGACTGTATGATCTATTGTTTCATTTTCCTCTTTGAAAAATCTGCACTTTGATGATTTTTCAATTCTGGCCGTGTTAATTTGAATAGCTTGCTCTTAAGCAGCCAAAATCAAGCCTTCAGTTTCTTTTTTTAAATGTTCTAGTTGTAAGGCATTGCCAGCTATTTATCTTTTATCCACTTTCCTCTCAATCTTGGATAAATGGTTACCACATAATGTTTTGCCTTGCCAGCATTCTGTTCGTGTTTTTATTACATTATTTTGATGTTCAGTTTTGTTCGACTTGAAGAAAACCTCTCCCTTTATTTCTGTGGGGGTGGTATACCCTTAATCAATATCTCTACAAGGTTGTAACGCATTAATGTTCTTATTCTTTTCAGAGATAGCTATGGATTCATCACTTACCGCTATACTTGTGATGCATTCGCTGCACTAGAAAATGGAAATACTCTACGCAGAGCCAATGAACCTGCCTTCCAGCTGTATTTTTGTGGACAGAGGCAATCCTGCAAGGCTAACTATGCAGATTTTGGTATGATGTTTACTATTAGCTGAATGTACTAAGACTTAGTTTCAGTCTGCCAGAGGGCATTCTGTGTCAGTATTCCAATGTTTGCCCTAATTAAATCATGAGCCTTGAGCCAAACTTCAAAAAACTTCAAAGAATTCATTAGGAGTGACATACTGGCATGACCTGTATGAAGCCGATTCTGGTGTATGTACTTATAGTCACCTGTGACCCTGCTTCCCCCCGGGTGTGCCATAAATCAGTTTCTCCAATTAAGCACGTACACTGGCTAGGTGTCATCCATCACGTTCTCCAATTAAAGTTTTTTGCCGGCAAAAGCTTCAGTCGCTTAGCTACAATCTTTTTAAAGATAAAGTTGGAATGTGCTTCTAAGTTCATTTGCCGTATGCTTCTCCAGTTGACATTCTGATTTTTGAGATTGCTCTGCTCCTAACCCCCTAAGATAACGTATTTTAAAAATACACATGGTTCAGGAATTATTAGCCTCTCTTAATGATTTAATCTGCTTCTGGAGAAATGGTCAAAATTAAGATCTTGGTCTGCAGAATGCCATACTTCTGTATGTTCTCTTCTGCCTGTTTTGCACGCTCCGGGCAGTGGTGGGATTCAGCCAGTTCGCACCGGTTTGGTGAACTGGTTGTTGAAAGAAATCATTAGGGCAGAGAGCCAGTTGTAAATTATTTGAATTCCACCACTGGCTCCGGGAGTGAATACACGAGTTTTCCCTAAGCCTCTGACATTTTCTCACAGTTGCAATGATAACAGCAATATGCATTTGTTTAAAGTGAATATGCGATCACTCACTGGCTAAAATAGATAGCTGTAAAGTTGCAGAAAGCAAGAAGATAGAAGCCGAGTGAAAATCTCAACATTAACAAATCATTTGCTGCAACGTTGCCTGATAAAAACCAGCAAAGACGGATTGAAGTCCTGACTTGATTTGACTTATCTTCTTCGTTGATGAAAGCAGGGGTGTTGCTAGTATCTCAAAACATCTAGGATATAAAATAAGTGGCCTGACAGCGGCTTGAGTATTATTCATTACCGAGAGTAGGCTCTTCTGAGCTCTCCAAGCCTCTTCACTGTGTTTTCTTCACTGTTATACTAGGAAAATGTCTACGGATGTCAGGGGAAATTGTCAGAATCCTGACTTTCAAGTGGTAGGGAATAAATACATTAAACAGGGAAGAGGAGGGAGGCCCAGCTTATGGAGAAAAAAGCATCAGGACCAGGGGTGGGGTTCTACAGGTTCGCACCTATTCGCTAGAACCGATTGTTAACATTCTAATCAGTTCGGATAACCAGTTGTTAGAAGAAATTACTGGCCTAATCCTGTAAGGAAGACAGGAAGGAAACATTCTGGTGTTGCTTACAGAAACTGCCTCTCCATTAACTCTTATTACATTCTTGGCAGGACTAGACTTCCTGTCTCAGGAACGTCTCTGGAGTTTTTTTTTCCTCATTTGCTGGAACTTTGCTTGTGTGGAGTGATCATTCAAAGTTACAATGGCACTGAAAAAAGTGACTTATGACCGTTTTTCACACTTACGGCTTTTGCGGCATCCCCACAGTCATGAGAGGCCCAGGCGAGGAGATGCGTGCCTCGATGTGAGTGATATTGAGTTGGCCACGCCCAGCCAGTCACATGACCAACAAGCCACGCCTACCAACTAAGCCACGCCCACAGAACTGTTTGTTAAAAAATTTGAATCCCACCCCTGATCAGGACCTATTGTAGATCAAGGGCTCCCAAGCTCTCTTTTTGGCTGCGACGGCCTCCTGCAACCAGAGGTGGTATTCAGCTGGTTTGGAACGGTTCTGGCATACTGGTAGCGAAAATTTTGAGTAGTTTGGAGCACTGGCAAATACCACCTCTGGCTGGTCCCGCCCACCTGCCCCTGGCCTTACCGCTCCTATATTCCCTTGCTTTTTAGCTCAGCTGATTTTGCAGCAGAGCACATTGCCGCACCTCAGCTGAGCTAAAAAAAAGCTGAGCACCGCTCACCAGCGTTGATACAGAAGGCAATCTCTGAGGCCTGTGCATGCATGCGCAAAGCACGCTCTCCCAACTGGTAGGAAACAATTTGGAAACCCATCCCATCTAAGCACCCAGCAATCCGGATCTGGCTCACAGGCCTTGAGTTTGACATGCCTGTTCTAGATCAACCCCAAATAGCTAATCACTAAAAGCAATGAACTTTGTGGACTAATTAAAGTATATTTTGTTCTGGATAACCTTTTTTAGAGAAACAATGTGGTTACTAGGACTGTCTGGGATGACATTAGAACGTTACCCTGCTCTGTTGGGAATTCATCAAAGAGCTTATATAAAAATATAACAACCCATAAGAATGACTGGCAAAAAGAGAATTTTTCAATACAATACAGAGTACAATACAATATAGCCGCAATAAGAGTATCAAAGAACTTTCAGAAGGATTGCTGCTAGTGAAACCTGTAAAATTCAAATTAGGGTCTACACTAATTTTGCCTAGTGATACAACAATGTCTTTCTACTATCATTCTCAATACATGTCATTCATGTGGATCATGTAACTATAGAGGTAGTCTTCAACTTACAACAGTCCATTTAGTGACTCTGTCAACTCATAAAATATTTTTATAGTCTTTTAGAGTTGTCAACAGAAAGGCGGGGAGCAGTGTGGCAGCTTGCAAACCAAAAGTGCATTCCATAAATGTTTTCAAAGATAGTAACTAGGTGACTGAAGTTTCTTCCATGCAAAATTCTAATTGGAGAGCATGACTGATGACTCTGGGCTATGGATGTGTCCCATTGGAGGATATGTATTACGATACACCTGAAGTGGGGAGAAACCAGGGTCAAGGGTGACAAGGAATGATGTGTCTCAGAGTCGGCTATACCCAGGCAGTGCTGGACATGTTAATTCCCAATAAATCCTTTGGAAGTTTTGGAAGTTTGGCTCGAGACTTATGATTTAAATGGGGTTAAGTGCTGGAATCCTGACAGACTCTTTGAATTTACAACGGCACTGAAAAAGGTGATTTGGGGTAATTTTTCACACGACCGTTGCAGCATCTCCATGGTCACGTGATCAAAATTCAAGCCCTGGGAAACTGACTCGTACTTATGATGGTTGCAATTTTATAACAATCTGTGAGAAAAAAAATGTACTGGAAACGCATTGTGTTATGCAGGGAGTCCTTGGCTTCTGACCACAATGTGCCCAAAATTTCCATTATGAAGTGAGACATTGGTTTTGCCCCATTTTATGACTTTTCTCGCCACCGTTGTTAAGTCAATCCCTGCAGTTGATAAATTAGTAACCTCGTTGATAAGTGAACCTGGTTTTCCCATCAGGTCAGTCGCAGAAGGGGATGATGTGACACACACACACACACACAAAACTCAGAAACATTGCAATCGTCCTAAATGTGAACCTGATGCCAAGCATCTGAATTTGGGTCATGTGACCATGGGGATATTGCAACAGTTGTAAGTGTGATAAATGGTCATAAGTCACTTTTTCCCCCAGTGCCATCGTAACTTTGAACGGTCCCCTAAATGAACTGTTGTACATCGAAGACTACCTGTATCAGCATTTTTCAAACTTGAAATTACCAGACTTTCAATTCCCAGAATTCCTTGACATGTTGTCTAGGGAATTCTGGTGTCAGCCTTGGAAGCCATATTTGACTTGGAAGCTTTGAGGCTGCCACATTTAGAGCTTGGGAATTTGGGAGAGAGGATTTCATTGAGAGGTGGAAGATTAGACCCAACAACATTCTTTCCCAGAGCGTCAAGGACATGTTGCCCAGCACCTGGAGGGGAGTGACTGGAGGGATGTCTCCAGTGTCAGGATTCTGGCAATTGCCCTAATTAATAAGCCTCAAGCCAAACTTCAAAAAACTTTGAAAGATTTATTAGGAGCAACATGCTGGCATGATCTGTATGAAGCTGACTTTGAGATACATAATCTACAATCATCTATGACCCTGTCTTCCCCCCACCCCCCTGTGTGTATCATAATTCAGCTTCTCCAACAAAACACGTTCATGGGCTGGGTGTCATCAATCACATTCTCCAATAAAGGGATGAAGATTTGATTGGGCCAAACTTCAAAAGGATTTATTGGGAGTTAACATGTCCGGCACTACCTGAGTGTAGCTGGCTCCAAGACACATAATTCCTTGTCACCCTTGACCCTGGTTTTCCCCCATCCCTCTGAGTGTATTGTAATTCATATTCTCCAATGGGACACATCCATAGCCAAGGGTCATCAATCGTGCTCTCCAGTTAGAATTTTGCACGGCAGAAATTTCAGTCGCCTAGTTACTATCTTTGAAAACATTTATGGAATGCACTTTTGGTTTGCAAGCTGCCACACTGCTCCCCGCTCCCTTTCTGTTGGAAGCTCTAAAAAGACCATGGAAATATTTTATGAGTTGACAATGGACTGATGGACGCAGGGGATGGATCTTTAATTTCTCTTTTGGGAAGGCAAAACCTGGAACTCTCAGGTTTGGGTTTTCCCAGATGTGCCAATAGGACAACTCTAATAAAATGGAACTTTGAGGAAATGTTTGTCTCGGAGTTTATTGCTTTTGGAGCTGGTTTGTTGGAACGCTGACACCTGGGAGTTGAAAGTCCACCTGTTTTGGAAAAAAAAAAAACCTGAGCTGGTAGGGTCAGGTTGTCAAGAAGAAGGCCCCTAAGCCTGCCTCAAAAATTTATTTTACTTCCAGATTCAGACGATTTCGATCCTGCTTCTACTAAGAGCAAGTACGACTCCATGGATTTCGATAGTTTACTCAAAGAGGTGCAACGGAGCTTCCGAAGGTAACATTGGCCGTGGCGAAGGAGAGCGGGAATTTGGCGGAATACCTCACCAAGCATCGTGCCGTTCGGTCATAGCCCGTAAAGAAGCCATCCTTCACCTGCATCTCCTCCCTCTGCATTTCTCCCTTACAAAAAACGTGGTTTGCGTGGACACAAGTCGAGGCAGACGAAGAGAAGGCAGCTGGGACTGATCGCGACACGAGTGTAATCTCTTTTTAAAGTTACGGTGCTGCTTTTCCAGGGTGAAGGAGGTGGTTGGGTTTTTGAGAAGGGGCAGCAGTTCCATAGAGATCGAGTCCAAACAAAACTTAGAAAATATGTACATAATGGCGCATTTGTTTCTTTGTTTTCCCTGAATGGAGCAATTAGAAAACTTTTAGCTGCTGGCATCTGAGATACACAACTGTGTTTGGGTGCTTTATTTTATTTCATTTCTTTCTTTTTTAAATTCCCGTAAAGCAAGCTTCTCACATTGGGTTGTTTTAAGAGGATGACAATCTCAAAAGAGAACGGCGGATACTGCAGAACAACCCATGCTCTGTTCTTGGGTTGCTTGTCAGGGGAGAAAAACGAAACAGTGGAAGGTTGAAAAACGTCCTAGAGGGTTTTAAAAGTTTGCTGTTTTAATTGTGACTTCCTTTTTTAAAAATTTTATTTAGTGTGTGTGTGTGTGTGTGTCCAAAACAGAGTGATCTAACATAGGGAAACTTCAAGATCCTCCTTATTAAAACATCAGCATGTGGGATGGTTTCTTTTCTTTCTTCCTTGATGAACCCAGACAGCGTTACTCTACAGAACCATTGAGGGTAACCTTTACGGAGGAAAGGAGAAAAGAATGTACCTGACTACATTGAGAAATGGAGCATTTTTATTTCGTGTACATAGTGTATGAGAGAAAAAAAGGACGCTCTCTCTCTCTCTTTTTGTTAGAGCTATGCACTGTAAATGCAGCGTTCTTTTAAACAAACAAAAAACCGACTGATTTTTTTTCTTAATCGAGACTATTCAAATGTAATTAATTATACAAGGCGAAACAATATTGTACACTACCGTATTTAGAAAGCTGAACTTTAACGCTTATCTATATTTGATTGTTTTCAAAAAAGGAAAAAGTAAAGCGTGCAAATGAATGTGTGAGTGTGTGCACTGGATGGGAAAATGCTGATCCTTGACCATCTTCCTTTCTTTAATGATCAGAATTCAGCCAAAGTTAAGAATATTCAAAACCTCCCTCGTAACACAATTAGCAGAGGTGCCTCTTAATCTTTTTATCACTTTTGTCTCAGCCAGTGGTATCTCTTGCAATATGATTGCTATTTGTGCTGGTAGTGTTAAGGCAGGTTGAAAGGGATGTACCAGGTTATAGATATAGATTTGAGATTCACAAAGCCTTCCTTCCGCCCCCTCCTCCTCCTCCTCTTCCTCCTCCTCCTTCTTCTTCTCCACACAGTTTAGCCTTTGCAGGTGGTAGAAACTGTCTTCCAAACTAGAATGGACTGGATTTCAGGATTAACTTCTAGAAAACTGCATGGTCCTAAAATGTTTGGTTGGAGGGGAGCAGAAGAGAAGTGGGATTATTCCGAAGGAAAGAAGTTTTCTAGAACTTCTGTGTCAGGAAGGAACCTATACTTGCTATACACACTTCTTCCCCCCACCCCCAAATATTCATATTGGACATGGAATTGGAGTCTTGTAACCTCTTAACTAATGTTCCTAAATAGAATGTGCAGAACTCCAAACAAATATTTCTGGTCTTGCTTGCTGAAAACACATAGGATGCCTTTGTGTGGATTAGAATTGGGAATTGGGTGTGTCCAGTCTAATGAAAAGAAGGACTAGGGGTGATAGGATAGCGGTGTTCCAATATTTGAGGGGCTATCCCAAAGAAGAGGGAGTCAAGCTATTTTCCAAAGCACCAGAAGGCAGGACGAGAAATAATGGATAGAAACTAATCAAGGAGAGAAGCAACCTGAAATTAAGGAGGAACTTTCTGACAGTGAGGACAATCAACCGGTGGAACAACTTGCCTTCTAGAAGTTGTGGGTGTTCCAACACTAGACATTTTTAAAGAAGAGATTGGACAGCCATTTGTCTGGAATGATATAGGTTCTCCTGCTTGAGCAGGTGGTTGGACTAGAAGACGTCCAAGGTCCCTTCCAACTGATATTCAGAATAAAAATGTGCTTTAAATCAAAAATACAGTCTGCTAAAAAAAGAAGAGAGCATTCTACAACTTCCCGGACTACAAATGTCCTGTCTTGAATTAGTGAAATTACTGGGTGTCAAAGCTCAAAGTGTTTCCTGAAGAAATGCTTCTAGTTATTTACAAATGTCATTAAGGTAGTTAGGAAAGTGATTAAAACTAACATGACTAGGGAATTTTCTAGAGATGACATCTATGCATTCAGAGACAAATGGCCAACCAATCTGGATATATTATCAAGGAACCTAACTTGATATACCCCAAGTTAGTAGTTTTGTTATCCACTATTAGCAAGAGGCTCTTGAGAACTAAGATAAGAACTAACAAGCAACAGAATGACTAGCAGAGTTGTCAGAGTAACTAACAAGGCAAGACAAGAAACAATGGATGGAAACTAATCAAGGAGAGAAGCAACCTGGAATTGAGGAGAAACTACTGAACAGTGAGAACAATTGATCAGTGGAAGGACTTGCCTTCAGAAGTTGTGAGTGTTTCATCACTGGAGGTTTTGAAGAAGAGACTAAATAGCCACTTGTCTCAAATGATACAGGGTCTCCTGCTTGAGCAGGGGGCTGGACTAGAAGACCTCCAAGGTCCCTTCCAGCTCTATTCTGATTGATTGAGAAGCTTTGTTGTGGTCGGTTTAACTTCTAGGCCTATTTGGTATTCAGCCCAATAGATATCAGTCAGATGGTTTAGCAGAGTTTGCAATCTAGCTTGGCTGAGCTTAACACTGCTGTCCTGTTTACATTCTCATTTAATGTGTTTTTTGGTGCAAATTTGTCTGGGGTTTGGATTTATCTTAACTTTGCCTGTATCCTGAATTTTTTAAAATCTTAACCACCTAGGTATAACTAATATCTCTATTTTTCCTTCCTTCCTTCGTTCCTTCCTTCGTTCCTTCCTTCCTTCCTCCCTCCCTCCCTTCCTTTTTTGCATATCTTTAGTGCTTTTATATACATAAAATTTATTAAAGTGTGTGGGGGGTTGGCAGATATTTCTCATTTTTTTTCTAGGAGATCTCATTATTTTATTTACTGCTTCTTAAAGTGTAATCAAGATAAGTTTTTATTTTATGTATCGATAGTTTCAAAACTAGAAGTCAGAAATCTTTATAAAAAAATTCTGTTTTCTTTTCACTGCTGTGACTTTAATTTGATAAAAAAACAAATTGTTGTGGTACAGAGCACAGTTCTGCTTTTAAAATAATTCTGTGTTTCTGAACACTCTTTCTTGAAGCCAGTAAGCTTTTCATTGGCAGTGTTCTATGACTTTAAATGTATACATCCTGTATAAACACTAACTTTCATTCCTTTGTTTACTGAAAAGAGGCATATTTATCAGTTGTGATTAACTATTTATTATAAATTATGAGGTGACTAAAATAATAAAAAAGGCCAGTGGAAATTTTATACCTAAGATGCACACCCTATTGTAAGGTTGTTAAATGTATATTAAGTTTTTTTTTTAATGTCCTTTTTCCCCCCTTACGAAACAGTGGCTCTTTCCTCCTTCTTTCCTATGATTTAGCTATGCACTGTTATGGCCTTAGGAGCCCCCATAAATCTGTGGGAGCTTTCAGAATTGTAGAGTCCATTTGTAAGTTTCTGGGCTGACCTAGTACAAGCTGCTAAAAAAAAAAGAACGAATTTGTGCATCATCTCATTTCACATCGTGTCTGTCCCAAGTCATCATTGTCCATCGCTTCCCTGGATTCCAACTCCACCTACACCATTACAAGAGGAGTCCATTCCTGTTACGTCTTCCCATTCATGGGGTTGAGACAGGTAGGCAGAGCCAATGAGGGTTTGGGGAAGGAGTTTCAAAGGATGGAGGAAAGGGTGGTATATTCTACCAGTTTGGACCGGTTCAGATGAACTGGTAGTAAAAATCACTACCGGTTCAGCCAAACAAATTGCCCAAGATCCTCCCAAGCCAAAGAAATCCTACCTTTTGGCTCCACGTGTTAACTGCCAATGGAGATTCTCCATCACGCAGGTCAGGATTGTTCCAAAGGTGCTTCCCCCCCAAAAAAGGTAACTGGGCTTTGTTTTTTCCTTGAAGACGTTTCGCTTCTCATCCAAGAAGCTTCTTCAGCTCTGACTGACACATAAATCTTTCCGTTCTCCATCAATTCAGCCAGAACTGGTGAAGCTTTTTGGATGAGAAGTGAAACATCTTCAAGGAAAAACAAAGAATGACCAGTTGCCTCTTGAAAAAAAAAAGCACCTCCATTATTGATGCCTCTTAAGAGATCACAAAATTGGTAAAATGTTCCCATTTTTCTTACAGCCCTAATTTTTAGGGCGTTCACTGCATTTCCAGAAAATGCCAGAGTTTCCTCTAAATGTGTCAGGCTCTAAGAAACCCATCCTAAGCTACCTAATGGCCCCCAGATACTTTAGACCAGGGGTCTCCAACCTTGGCAACTTTAAGACTTCAACTCTATCCCTCATGGTTGGTCAAAATAAAACAACAAATGTCTTTTATCGGCATTTCTCTACCTGCTTATGCAGCAGAATTAATTGTTCAAGTATAATTAAGCTTCTCTTCACATGCATGCTGAAAGAAGGGCTTGTTCAAACACAGCCCATAGATCTATGAACCAAGGTATTCATCCCCAGGTATACAAAAATTATACATTTTTACCTGGTGGCGCAGTGGTTAGACTGCAGCATTGCAGGCTAACTCTGCCTACTGTCCAGAGTTCGATCCTGACTGGCTCAAGGTTGACTTTGCCTTCCATCCTTCCAAAGTCAGTAAAAAGAGGACCCAGACTGTTGGAGACAGTACTCTTAGAGAAGTCTATAAAGCACTGTGAAATGGTATATAAGCCCAAGTACTATTGCAATTGTTAATACATTTTTGTGAGCCGTGAAAGAGGGAATACTTTATGAGTTGTGTGATCAATATGGCATCTTTGCACACCCATATAACAGGAAGAGATATATTCCCTGTAGTGGAGGACAGAGGAGAATTGGATCACGTGAATAAAGTTTTCTGCTTAGGTCTCTCACGTTAAACTTTCTCATATCAGTAGAAGAAATCACACCATGATTTGTAGGGGTTCCAAAGTTAGGTGTTCAAGGAGATAGGACCCATGCTAAGCTACCTAATGGCCTCCAGATACTTTAGACCAGGGGTCTCCAACTTTGGCAACTTTAAGACTTGTGGACTCCCAGAGTTGAAGTCCACAAGTCCTAAAGTTGCCAAGATAAGAGACCCCTGCTTTAGACTATAACCCTCCACAGTTTCTTGCCACTCGTCATGTTGATTGGACCTGATAATCCTTGAAGGAGACCATCAAGATTTGGAGATCATGAAATGGCCCACGCTCCGTATACAAGCAGAGACTTTTCCTTCTTGAAGTCTAGGAAGATTTGCCATTCTCCAGGTTCATGGTTGTCCCAGAGGTTCTTTTTTAAGAGTCAACTGAGACTTTCTGGTTTTTCTTGGAAGACGTTTTACTTCTCAGCTTGGATTTTTCATCTTGAAGCTTCTCGGACTTTAGCTGTGAAGGTTGATGTAAAAGAAGGGACAATAATTCCAAAAAAAGAAGCCAAAAATTCCTTTACATGCACAGAGAGGAGAGAAAACGGATCTGGAAACCTTTCAGCGTTAGAAAAATTGAGTTCCTGTGCTTCTTGGATGAGAAGTGAAATGTCTTCAAAGGAAAAAACGAGAGTCCTGTTGCCTCTTAAAAAAGGCACTATGAGGACACAGATAAACCTCCAGGTGGCCTCAAGGACCCTCTAAAAATGATGCAAATGACCATCTGTCTGCAA